CCTCTGATGCCGCTTGGCCTGCTGTGTTCATCCAGCTCTACACCTTGTTATCTCTGGCTTATTTGATAACTGTTTAAAACCATGCCATACTTTGTTGTTTGTTTACTGTGCTGTTCGGTTCGTCTGCATCATTTATCGAAACTTGCTTATTTGTCTGTTGTTTTCCTCATCGTCCTTGCATTAATTTTGACATAGAATTACTACACTGCTTAATTTTTATTTCCAGAGTCTAGCTTTTCATTATCATTTAAAGTGAACTGAAATGTCTCCAACCATTCTTTTCAGAATAAAATTTTGCCGTTTCTTTTGGGCTCTGCATAATCTCAAGTTCAGTGCATTAGTTGACTTATTTTTTTATCTCTGCCTGCATTTGGTGCTTTTATAATTGATCTAATTCTGCTACTTACTGAATTCCTTGCAATATTCGTGTGTCTCCAAAATGTTCACTTTTATGCCTCTACTTAATCACAATCTCTCTAGATCTGTTTTATGACTTAAATAGAATTAACTTCGATTGCAGCCTCAGTAGATTGCTTTAATGATTATTATCTGGTATAATTGCAATCATCTTTGTGCTCCAGTTGACCTATTTGAAAGCATTTTAGTGTTTCCTCAAAGTTGGTCCATTTGATGTCCAGTTTTTTGCCTTGCTGTACCTTTTGCTAGCTTTGGCATTCAGCAGTCAGCTTTGGCATAACACTGATGAGTACTTGAAAGGAAATGCTTTTGACTCAATTTGATTTGTTGCATTGGAGAACCCAAGAAAGGAACAAAATACATAACCAAAGTTGGATCCGCAAAGGAAATACAAAGATATTTTTAAATTAAAATATAAGCAATTGTTTAAGAATTTGGTTTTTCTGGATGTTGATGCCCAAATCATGCTACTTTACAGTGCCAGCTTGGAGTTCTGCCACTCGGAACGGGAAATGATCTGGCGCGGGTCCTTGGCTGGGGCGGCTCGTGTGATGATGACACACAACTTCCACAGATTTTGGAAAAATTGGAAAGAGCCAGCACCAAAATGTTAGACAGGTAAGTGTGATGTGATTGTCAGCAAGGGTCTTTTTCTAACTCATTGATGAAATGTGACATTTTGGCTGTGCCAGCATTTATTGCCCATCCCAAATTGTCTTTGAGAAGGGGGTGGTTGGCTGCTTTCTTGAACTGCTGCAGCCTGTGAAATGACACTTGCACAGTGCAGTTAGGAATGGTATTCATGCTTGGGAGATTCAGTAATAAGGTTATGATAAAAGAATTAGTGGTGGGAATCCAACCAGATATGTAGTGGTGCAGTCACTAGCCAGTTATCCTAATGAGCAGATGACATGGTTTGAATGTGGTCCTGTTAAATGGTAAGATTCAAAGATACAATAGTTTTTGATTGAATTAATATCTGTTGTTCACAAAGAAAATCAAATCCAAGGGATGAATTTGCCATTTTTACAAGAAGTATCTTTTAGATAACTTTGGCCGTAGAGCATGTTATTTATTGTTTGAACTTTTCAGTCAGCTTGCTGTCTTTAATGCTGCCTCATCTTTGTTATCTGTTTTCTATGCCCTGACTGCAAAGTTGAAAAATAGAGTAGCATTTGAATTTAGTGTTTTTCTGCAGTACGGTCATAGTTCCAGAAGCAAATGTAATGAAGCACTTGTAAACAGAGATTGTCACAAGATATATTTTTGGATGTTTTTAATCAATCTGTTGATGTATTGTGAACAGGACATTAAACAGGACATAATTATGATCAGAGCTTCTGAGTGTTACAGTGTGCACGCAGCACTGATACTGCCAAATAATGAAGCAAATGAAAATCAGATGAAGTTGGAATCAACTTTGCAATTGGGTGCTCCTAATGGCTATGATGTGGCAAGAGTGCATCTTAGGCATTTAAGCACATATGGTAAAATTTATGAATAGCAAGTGAATATTTTATCAGTTAATTTGAGATGTTAGTTAGAACTTGTGCAACCTCTATGTTATATCAATATGCACCTTAAAGCCAGACCTAACAAGTTGACCTTTACTTCTATAATCCATCAGAAAAACTGTAGATTTCCATCCATATAGTGTTTTTCATGACTTCAAGATGTCTCAATGTGTTTTATAACCAGCAAAGTACTACAGAGTGACAAATTGCAGCCCATATTGTCCTGCCTATGGAACATGGCAGCCAATATTTTTATCGGTGTTCCAGCAGCAAGCTCCAGTATACAGCAATGAAATAATGAAATAATGACCACATAATCTATTTGAATCATTAGGTTCAAGAGATGGACATTTTTGAAATGTTTGTTTTCTGACTGAGTAATAAACACCCCTTTCTTTGAATATTGTGCAACAACTGGCACCTGTCCTGAATTATGGAATACCTTCTTTCTTCATTTGTCTGAGCGTGTGAAATCAGATAGTGATATTCTTACTGTTTTACCGATGCTCATAAACCCATCTGCCACTTTGGTCTCTAGTTGTGCCCACTCACTTGGTCTTCCCTTGCTTCGTCTTCAACAACTTTTCCAGATTATTAGATATCCCCTGAAAGTCTTTAATTATTTTCTTTGTAACATTAAACTATCTTGCTGCTGCACAGTTCGTAATGATGTTTGTAAATGTTGAAACTTCAATTTTAAATTGGGTTGCATGCTTATTATTCTTTCTCAAAGGCATCATGACAGATCATGTGATACACATTATTCTCCTAAGTTATATAGTCATTCAGCACAGAAACAGACCCTTCGGTTCAACTCATCCGCACCGACTAGACATCCCAATGTGACCTAGTCCCATTTGCCAGCATTTGGCCCATATCCCTCTTAAACCCATTCATATGCCCATCCTTGATGCCTTTTAAATGTTGTAATTGTAGCCACCTCCAGCACTTCCTCTGGCAGCGCATTCCATACACACACCACCCTCTGCATGAAAAAGTTACCTCTCAGGTCCTTTTAAAATCTTTCCCCTCTCATCTTAAACCTATGTCCTCTAGTTTTGGACTCCCCTATCCTGGGAAAAAGACCTTGGCTATTTACCCTCTCCATGCCCCTCATGATTTTATTAACCTCTATAGGGTTACCCCTCAGCCTCTGACACTCCAGGGAAAAAATCCCCAGCCTATTCAGCCTCAACCTATAGCTGAAAACGTCCAGTCCTAGCAACATTCTTTTAAATCTTTTCTGCACCGTCTCAAGTTAAACAACATCCTTCCTATAGAAGGGTGACCAGAATTGTACGCAGTATGCTAAAAGTGACTGGCGCTTGTCGGTAGAATTGATGAAGGCAAAAGATTGAAGATCCTGCACAAGCCTTTAAGTTAAAGGATTGGGAAGTAATTAATAACCATAACATGATTTGATCCATGAAAAGTTAGGGTTAACTTTTCCGCAAGATATATGGAAAATTATTTTTTAGGCCAAAAGTCATAAGGCCAGCTTTTACATGAGACTGACATTTCTTCAAAGGGTACACAGTAACTTTGAGAGCAGTTGGATTACATTCTCCCTTCCCTTCGATTTGTTTTTCTCTGCCAAGTATCAACTCCAGCTGTTGAATTTCCAATTCTCTGAAATGCTGGTCATTAATTCATTGCTAGAAGATGTGCTGAGCAAAAAACATAGAACAGTTCAGCACATGAATAGGCCCTTTGGCACACCATGTCTGAGCTGACCATGATGTCATTCTAAACTAATCCCATCTGCTTGCACATGGTCCGTATCCCTCTATTCTATATGTGTCTGTCTATCGCTGCTATCGTACCTGTCTCTACCACCTGTCCAGGCAATGTGTTCCAGACGGCCACACCCTCTGCGTAAAAACTTGCCTCGCACATCTCCTTCAAACTGTTACCCCTCTCACTTTAGTCTTATGCCCCCTAATTTTTAACATTTCCACCTTGGGAAAAAGACTCCAACAAATCACTTTATCCATACCTGAGTACAGAAATCCAGCAGTCCAGCATGTTTATGATAATGCATTGCCCTTCCTGTTCTGCCTGTGGGGTTCCAAGGCTAAGGTTTGACAAACTAAACATGACCTCAGAGTAGGGAAGTGGATAGCAATAGTCATAACAATTACATTATGCCTACTGAAATTTCTGGATGCCACATTAAAATCTGACAGTCATATACCAAACTTGGAAAAATTAAAATGAACCAAACTTGGAAATCTGTTTTAAACCTGCAGTCCCCACAGTTTTTTCTGGCATTATTTCTCATAGAAGCACATTGCCTCACATGTAACTAAATTCTGTGTAGTCTTTGATGAATTAATAATGAGAGCTTTGTTATTTTAACATGAAGGATGTTAGCTGTGAAGCCCCTGAGAGCTCGGTTTCTTGTCTAGAGCTGATAAGCATCAATTTGGCATTGACTTCCACTGGCTAAGCTGCACAAAATCTTGCTCTAAATCAATTTATCAATGAATTGAATGGAAAGTCCTACCATTCTTTTAATTAGGCATTTAGATCCGTTTGCAGAAGTACAGTCACGATGAAGGCAGGGTCTTATTGCATTTCGGTTAAAGGGGCTCCTTGTGTAATTACAGGCAAAGTCACTTTGTTGAATTATACTAATTTGATAAAACAAATACTGCAGATGCTGAAAATATGAGACCACAAAGTGCTGGAAAAACTCAGCAGGTCTGGCAGCACTGTGGAGGGAGAAACAGAGATACTTCAGCACTCGAAAGGACACATACTGATGTACATAGAAACTTGTCTGTGGAGTTTTGAGGGATGAAGCCTCATTTCATTTAAGGAAGAGCTAGATAGTTTCAGATGTGTGGGGTCGGGTGAAATTGTAAATGTTTTGACCATTTATGGTTTCTCTGAGTGAAAGGTGCCACATATTCTCTTTCTGAGTAGGAAGAGGCAAGAAATGCAGGAGTCTTTGGTTTGACAGTGGCTCAAATGCCAATCTGAGAATGGCAATACCTTAAAGGAATGGGACCAATGGACCGGAGATGGCACAGAGGAGAACAGCAAAGGATAGAAATTCAGCCATTATTGGAGATACCATAGTTTTTTTATAGAATCCCTACAGTGTGGAAACAGGCCATTCAGTCCAACAAGTCCACACCGCCCCTCCGAAGAACATCCCACCCAGATCCATGCCCCTATCCCTGCATTTCCTATGTCTAAACCACCTAACCTAAACATCACTTGGCAATTTAGCTTGGCCAATCCACCTACATAGAACATAGAACATTACAGCGCAGTACAGGCCCTTCGGCCCTAGATGTTGCGCCGACCTGTGAAACCAATCTGAAGCCCATCTAACCTAAACTATTCCATCATCATCCATATGTTTATCCAATGACCATTTAAATGCCCTTAAAGTGGGCGAGTCTACTATTTTTGCAGGCAGGGCATTCCACGCCCTTACTACTCTCTGAGTAAAGAACCTACCTCTGACATCTGTCCTATATCTATCACCCCTCAATTTAAAGCTATGTCCCCTCGTGCTAGCCATCACCATCCGAGGAAAAAGGCTCCCACTGTCCACCCTATCTAATCCTCTGATCATCTTGTATGTCTCTACTAAGTCACCTCTTAACCACCTTCTCTCTAACGAAAACAGCCTAAAGTCCCTCAGCCTTTCCTCATAAGACCTTCCCTCCATACCAGGCAACATCCTGGTAAATCTCCTCTGCACCCTTTCCAATGCTTCCACATCTTTCCTATAACGCAGTGACCAGAACTGTACGCAATACTCCAAGTGCGGCCGCACCAGAGTTTTGTACAGCTGGAACATGACCTCATGGCTCCGAAACTCAATCCTTCTACCAATAAAACCTAACATACCGTACGCCTTCTTAACAACGCTATCAACCTGGGTGGCAACTTTCAGTGATCGATGCACATGGACACCGAGATCTCTCTGCTCATCCACACTACCAAGAATCTTACCATTAGCCCAGTACTCTGTATTCATGTTACTCCTTCCAAAGTGAATCACCTCACACTTTTCCGCATTAAACTCCATTTGCCACCTCTCAGCCCAGCTCTGCAGCTTATCTATGTCCCTCTGTAACCTACAAC